TACCTGGGTTGTGGGAAAAGAGAAGGGAAAGAAGGAGAAATTTTGTATGTATGTATATACAGGTTAGTTAACATAGCTGTTCTACTGTCTTCTATTTCTTTGCTGAAAGAAACTGTGAGTCCTTGATTGATCAATATTGCATGTCTCTATCTGTTTTCATGAGAAACCACTTTGAAGATATCACTATGTAATACAAGAAGAATTGTTCATTTCCTACCACTTTGTAACTCTGTATTGTCTGTATTGTTCTTTTGCTATTTGGTAAAACGTTGAATGTCTGTTAATGTTTTCCTCCTTTTATTTTTAAAATAAAATGAAATAAGTAAATTCACCCAGGTCATTTAAGGGAAACCCCAAAGATATCCAAGGAGGGAGTTCCTATTTTAAGTGCAAGAAGTCTGGACACTGGGCACACAACCGCACTAAGCCTCTGCCTGGGCTCTGCTGCAAGTGTGAGTCCGCCCATGTGCCTGACCCATGACACTGCAGCGCTGGCTGTCCCTGCTGTCAGAGAGGGCTAAGCCAGCCCAATCCCTCATTTCCTGTTCTGGAGAGCCCCAAAGGAACCTACCGTGTCCCTCTCCAGGGACATCACCATGTCCTGTGAGGAGCCCTGGGTAACCCTGGAGGTCATGGGGAATCCAATTCAGTTAGTTCATTCAGCTTGACTTCCCTCTCTAGAAACCCCTCCTTTAGATCTGTAGCCACCGCTGGGGTTGTGGGAACCCTTCGTTGATTTTTTCACTCTTCCTCTGATATGTCATTTTGAAGGCTAAATGTTTAACCATATTCCACAGTGTCCTACTCCCTTGCCAGGAAGAGATTTACTGGCAAATCGGGACAATTCTCAAATTCAGGCAAAGGCCAAAATGGATTTCACCTGTTGGAACTATGCCTGGCCTCCCTGACCTAGTTAGCCAACAGGTGGATCCTGCTGCATGGTATGATGAGATTCTTGATTTAAGAAAATTCTTTTGTACATACCAGACTTGAACTAAAGGCTGGGACAGGAAGTCTGCTCAGTTGTGTACTTTTCAAAAAGTGTAGGTGGAGGGCCTGCTGGATGGCATCGTGTTCGCAGCTATAGGTGTGCTAACAAAGGAAGGTGAAAAACTAGTTAGCACAGAAACTGGAGGTCCTGTCTCCCCGTGAGGTCAGAGCAGTTCCTGAGACCAAAGCGTATGTGTGGTTAACAGGTCATGTTCTTAGACACCCCCAAAGTTATATACACTTGCACTATGCCTAAGACCCAGAAGTTAGCCATTCTTGTGTTTTTAAAAGAAAATAAAAAACAATACAAAACCCATTAGAAATGATACAGAGTTTCACTAAATAAGATGATAGGAATTCAACAATGGTTGTTATATTGCATATTGTTGTCTTCAAATTAGTTGTTCAGATTACCAGATATAAGCATGCAAAATTTGTCAAGAAATTAAAAGGAAAAAAAAATAAAAATTTTAGCTTTAACAGGTCCTTTCAACAGATCAGTAGAAATCAGCAGTACAATTGTCCCAGCTATCCTGTGTGTATACATATATTTTTCTCCTTCTTTCTTTTTTTTTTTTTTTCTGTTTTCCTCATTCCAGTTCTTCCTTTCCTTTGAGCAGTTCCTTTCCATTTCGCAGTATCTATTGTACCTTTCAGATTTTATTTACTCTTTCAGGTTCTTACAGTATGGAGACAATGTGATGTTTACATATGTGGGTCTGATTTATTTCACTTATGAGTATGGAGTCTAGTTGCATCCATTTACCTATAAAAACCTTCAGTTTATCTTTTTGATAGCTGAGTGACACTCCATTGTATAAAAATGCTACATTTTTTATCCATATTTTTTATCCATTCCCCAGTTGATGGGCATTTGTGTTGCTTCTTGTTTGGGTTATTGCAATATAGCTATGACAAATTGTGCTGCTATAAACACTGATGCACATATATCACTGTGGTATAACGTTTTCTATTCTTTGGAAAAATACCTAGAAGGAGAATAGCTGGGTTGAATGGGACCTTTAATCCTAGTTTTTTGAGGAATCTCTACATTGATTTCCATAGTGGTTCCACCAGTCTACATTCCCACCAACAGTGGAGAAGTGTTCCTTTCCCCTACAACCCCTCCAGCATTTGTCACTGGTTGACTTCTTGATGATAGCCATTCTCTCTGGGGTGAGATGGAATTTCATTGTTGTTTTAATTTGTATATCTCAGATGACCAACGATGTTGAACATTTTGTCATATATTTATTTGCCATTTATATTTCTTCATCTGAGAAGTGCATATTCATCTCAGATGCTCATTTTTGGATTGAGTCTTTGAATTTGGGGTGCCTGTTTTTTCAATTCTTTATGTGTTCTAGACAGAAGTCCTTTGTCTGAGGGACAGTTAGCTAAACTTTTTTCCCACTCTGCAGCTTTTCTTTTCACTTTGCTGGTGATTTTTTTGATGTTCAGAAACTTTTTAATAAGTTGAGATCCCAGTAGTTGGCTCTTTGAAGTACTTCCTGTGCAGTTTGGGTTTTGTTCATGAAGTCTGCTCCTACACCTATGTCTTCAAGATTCCTACCTATTTTCTCTTCCAGTAGATTTTGTGTTTGCATTTTAATATTTAGATCTTTGATACATTTTGACCTTAGTTAACAAATGGTGATAGACCTGGGTCTAGTTTTAGTCTTTGACATGTGGAAAGCCAGATTTTCCAGTGCCATTTTTTTTTTTTTTTTTTGGTTTTTCTCCGGTACCGGGAACCGAACTCATGACCTTGCGCTTGCCAGGCAGGCGCTTTGCTGCTGAGCTATATCTCCAGCCCCTCCAGTGCCATTTATTAAAAAGTCTATCTTTCTTCCAGTGTGGCTGTGCACCCTTGGTTGTGTCGGCATCTTCTACTCTGTTCCATTGATCCTCAGGTCTGTTTTTTGCCAACAGCATGTTGATTTTATCACAGTAGCTTTGTGTTTTAATTTGAAATCAGGGATTGTGATGCCTCCAGCTCTTCTTTTGTTGCCCAGGGTTGCTTTTGCTCCTCCAGGTCTCTTCTGATTCCAGATAAATTTTAGGAATGTTTTCTCTACATCTGTGAGGTATGCTAATGGTATTTTAATTGAGATTGCATTGAATCTGTATAACAGTTTTGGGATTATGGTCATTTTTACAATGTTGTTTCTTCCTATCCACCAGCAAGGAATATCTTTCCATGTTCTGAAATCCTCTTTACATTCTTGTCAGAGTACCATAATTTTCACTGTATAGATCTTTTGCTTCTTTTGTTAGATTGATTGCTAAGTATTTCATTTTTGGGGGATGCTATTGTGAAAGGTGTGCTTTTCCTAATTTCTCTCTCAGTGCGTTTGTTGTTTGTGTATAGGAATGCTATTAATTTCTGAGTGTTAACTTTGTGTCCAGCTCCGCTACTGAATTTGGTTTGTTATATTTACATGTCTTTATGTGGAGTTTTTGGGATCTAGCCATTCTTGTGAACAACTAATCTCTTAGACCTATGCAAGTGGGCAAGACATCAATACCTGTCCTGACAAGACCCTGCAAATATGTGTTTCACTGATGAAAGTAGCTTTGTCCATTGGGCATGGTGGCACACATCTGTAATCCCAGACCAGGAGGGTGAGGCAGAAGAATTGCTGTGAGTTGGAGACCAGCATGAGCACAGTGAGTTCAAGGGCAGTCTGAGTTATATAGTGAGACCCTGTCTCAAAAAAAGCAGCTTTGTCCAAGAAGGACATTGAAAGGATGGTTAGCAGGTGTCACTTCATGACAGGTCACAGAAGAAAAACCCTTTTCCCTCAGGGACCTCTGCTCAAAACGTGGAGCTCATAGTTCTTACTCAGGCATTTGTATTAGAAATAGAAAAGGAAGGTGTATATGTCCAGAAATGCCAACTATGCCTTTCCGGTGCTACAAGCCCATGCAGCAATCTGGAAAGAAGGAGCTTGCTGACTAATAAACAATCATCTATAAAGCACAGCAGGAGATCCTCCAACTCCTAGAGGCGGTCCCTGTTCTCAAGCAGGTCTCAGTCACGCACTGTAAGGGACTTCATAGAAGCATGTCTGAAGTCTGTTTGGGAAATCAAAAGGCTGATGGGGAGGCAAGAAGGGTGGTTCCAGAGCCCCTCAGGACCCCAGCCTCATTCCTGGATCTTGAGGAGCCATTGTGGTCCTTCCTCAAGACATGCAGTGATGAGCCGTAAAAATCCTACGTGGGAAGTGGCCACTCGAATTTTGCAGGACTAGGGAGATCTGAAGCTCTGCTTCAGAAACTGAGACTCCAGTACTGCTCTGGATGCAGATAAGTAGAGTCACTAATGACCCTCACTCAGCACAGATGGACAGAGCCCATTTTTAATCTGATGCAGGATGTGGGTCACCTTGCTAAGGCTCTGTTTCTCTGGCTCTTGATAATTTACCTAACCTCCCCTTGGCCTTACTTTCTCTTGCCCAACAAGCATGAAAATCTGACCTGCTCCTCATAGTTGCATTCTACATCCACAACATAATAGTAAAGTTCGCTAATTCTTTTCCCGTTGTCTTCTGACAGGTGTTTTCCTTCAACCTAGCCAGTGAGTACCAATACCACACGGTACTTGGAGAACATATATTCCCCAGTGCAGAGGCTCTACAGCTCCTTTCAGCTGGAAGAAGAAGCTCTAGAGACCAGAGAGCTGCACTCCATCAGCACCCCATAAAGAATTATTGGGCCAGGTGGCTCTCAGGGAAATGAGCCAGGAGATTAGGGCCTAGCAAAGCTGGCTGGGGAAGTAGGTGTGACCTCTTAATTGTAAAATCCCAGGACACATGCCTGGGACAGTTCCCAAAGCCCTACTCATGGACTTCTTGTTAGAACTCAAGCAGGATTTTTATAGGTTGCCCTAGACCTGACCTTAGCTTGCAGAGTGGTGATACAAAAGCACGTTTACCATTGAGTTTTGGTCATTGTGTTCTCTCTTGCATGGATGGCACATGAGCCCCTGAGCATTTAAGCAAACCTAAAAGCAGCTTTATATATCTTTGCTCCTTAGTTCAAAATTTTTGGCCCATTTTGCTCCCAGTTAAATATGGCTTTTTCCCAGTGAAAGACTTACTCTTATTTCTTGTGGAATGCTTCTCTTCCCTCCTTTCTCCAGGTAGCCCAGTTTTCATCCTGTGGAGGCCTGCTCCATCCCCCACACTTTCTACTCTAGGTAGATGTCTTGGTTACTTTTCTTTTGTTGCTGGGACAAAATACCCAATGACTAAATTAAGGAAGGAAAGGTTTATTTAGTTCATAGATTCAGACCATACTCAGCTGGCTCCAAGGCAGGGTGGCACATGGCAGAGGGCAACAGTTCCTGGTGGCAGAAGAGAGCAAAAGCAGCAAGAGCAAAAAGGGCAGGGAACAAGCCTCTTTTTCTTCCTTATATTGTGTGCCAGCTATCCACCCAGACCCATACCATCTGGGTGCTCTCCACTTGCACAGGCTCAGGATATAGAACTGCTGAGTCACTTAGCCAAGCCCCCAGACTCCTCAAGTTGGCACATGTATCAACCACAACAATAGAATTACTTGTTCAGGCTAAAAATTTCTACTCCAAGGATTATATGTCTCTGTTCAGGAGCCAGTTATCTTCTTCCTCACCGCCCGCCCCCCCCCCATCTGCCTGTCTGCCTGTTAATTTAGTTATCAAAAGAAGGGATGGGAGTGCTCAAGAAGGGCAGAACCACTCAAGGACTTCTCCAGGTAAGGTATTAAGTTAATTCATCCAGGAGTGAGATTCCTGAAGGTATTGTCTTTATCTAGTTGAGATCAGATGCAGGTGTCCTTGGCTGTGATCTTGTCTTACCCTTTGAGGCTTTCTGGCTTCATCAGCCATTATAGGCCTTAGTAGGGATTAGTGACTCACAGAAGTTCACTTATTATGAGTCCACCACCCATCTCCAGGCAAAGAGCCCAGGCCTTGGAGAGACTCACAAGTAAATATGGAAAGTCCATTGGTTAATTTAAGTCCTGCCCAGGGTGGCTTCATAGTAGTCTCCATCATCCCAGGCCTTCCATAATTGAGGTAGGAACCCATATCTCTAGTATTCTGCATACACCTAAAATCAGCACCATGTGGAAGATGCCAAGGTCTGCTGCCCCCTGGAGCAGTAGGCAGGCTTTTGCTCTCTCTTGGCTGTAGGTGTTGTGTGCCCGGATCACTGGGCACTCTAACTCTGATTCTGAGGAACAAATTCTCTATGCCCCTGGCATTCTGGAACCTGGTGAGGTTGCCACTATTTCCTTCTGGAACACGATACTCTGTGACTTTCTCTTCAAAGCAAAGTCTTTCACTTTTGCAGTTTTGAGGCTGCAAAGGGTGGAGACTTATTGGTTCTTTTGATGCCCTCAGGCCGTCTTTTATATTCTCCTGTTCCTTCTCAGTAATAGAGATCTCCTCAACTCTTATCCTGTAGTCTGCAGCTTTACTGGAGCTTCCTTCCTGGACAAACTCACATTTTAAATCATCCTGCTGGGCTCTGGGCTCTTGATTCACAACATAAATGTGGGTAAAAGCCCCCAACAGTAGCCATGCCACAGCCTCAACATTCAACTGCCTTGAAATTTCTTCTGCCAGCTTAATTAGCCTGCTGACCTTAATTGCAGTCTCAGGTAAAGTCTCTGGACAGGAGCAAAATGCAGAAAAACTTTCTGCCAAGCCATAACATACATCATCTGGAGTCCAGCACCCAAAGCTCTCCTTCTCCCAGCAGAAACCTCCCCAGCCTGGTCTTTTTTTTAAATCTTTTTGAGACAGGGTCTCGCTGTGCAGTTCAGGCTGGCCTTGAGCTCACTTTGTAGCCCAGGCTGGTCTCGAACTCACAACGATCCTCTTGCCTCAGCCTCCCAAGTGCTTGGATTACAGACGTGGGCCACCACACCCAGCTTCCCAGCCTGGTCTTTACCAGCAGGATTTCCATCAATCAGCCTTCTTGTCTTCTGAGCTCTGACCAGAATCTCCCAAACAGAACAGCCAAAGACGTTTGAGCTCTAGTCTCTCAGGCGAATTCTCTGAACCTATCCAATCTCTTCCCAGAAGCCATTTGCAAAGGCTCTTGAACCACATGGTCATGTAAAGTAACAGCAAGGACCCCACCTCTCTGGTACCAAGTTCTGTCTTGGTTACTTTTCTCTTGCTGCTGAGACAAAATGCCTGACACCCAGAATTAAGGAAGGAAAGGGTTATTTAGCTCACAGCTTGTGGAGGTTTCAGTCCATAATCAGCTGGCTCCATGGCAGGGTGGCTCATGGCAGAGGGGCAACAGTTCAAGGTGACAGAAGAAAGCAAAAGGGGAAAGAGTAAATCTCTTTTCTTCCCTTATATGCAGGCTACCACCTCCTAGGGCAGGGTAGCAGTCACACCATCTCCATGCCCTCCTCTTGCTCAGGATGAGGATGTTTACAAAGTCAGGATGCTGGCCCTCTGCTGAGTCACTTAGTTAAACTTTTAAACTTCTAAAATTAACACAGTGTACTAACCATTACAACATGCTATGTACACATTTATTCAAAACACATATTTGAAGTCTTATTGTGTGTCCAGCAATTTTAATAGTTAAATTGTCACAGAGAGGGGTCCTGAGTTTGAAGGAGCCAGAACTCATTCAATGTCTGCTCCTCTTAGAATAAAATCCGAGTTTGCTGTTCTTTCTTTTCTAAAGAAAAATCACATCTGGGTACACTGCTGCCTGGCTTGGCTGGCTTAGGGAAGCCTAAGCTGCCTTTGTAGTGCCCAGAGCCATGAGAGCAGTGGGGCTAAGGCTGTCGTGGCTGCCTCAGTTTCCCTATTTTCTGTCGGTCTCCACAGAGCCTACAGAGGTACGGAAAAGATCTTCTTTCTTAAGGAGAGCTTTTGCATCGCTTGCCACAGTGTCAAGGAAATAATTTTGCAAATAAAAGTACTTTCCAAAGTATAGGCCAGTGGCAAAGGGCCCTCCAGTGACTGCTAAGACCTTCTCAAGAATCTGGTGCTTCTCCTCAAAGGATTCGCCACCCTCAGCCAACAGCAGGTGGGGAGATTGAAGGTTTGCCTTGAGGTTCTCCAGGGACACGTGCAAATCCTCTGCCAACTGTTCTAGTGATTTTTCATCCAGCCCAAAGGAAGATCTGTACAGGGCCAAGGTCTCCTTCATCTTCTTTATTTCACTATCTCTGAAGAGGCCAATTAAGGGGATGGTTGCGAATAGTCCGGCCTTCAGGGCCTCCAGCCAGATCTTCTGCTTCAGGGAATCTCTCTTCTGATCAATGGCGGCTTCTGTAAGGGCGGGCAGGCTCAGCATGAAGATGTGACGCTTGTGAGCAGGCAGGTCCTTCAGAAGCGTGGTCTCCAGCACAGGGAAGTCGTAGTCAGACACATCAAGGCTGGAGACTAAGAAGACTTGAGCATCAGTCACTTTAGCTTTCTCCAACTCTGTTTCACATTCTTTTCGGAGTTTTCCCAGGACTTGTTCCTCATTGAAGTTTCTTGGTTTAGTTTTTTTTTTCATTGTCCACATCATTATCAATTTTTGTTCGCACAAAATAAAAGTTCTTCTTCATTTTGGCGATGGCTTTGGCCAATTCTGCATCATTGTGTTTGAAGCGGGTGGCAGAGACGATTAGGAAAAAGTCATACTCAGCAAACTTTACTTCCTTCAGATATTTTTCGGGAGGGAAATTGGTGGTCCCAATGCCGGGCAGGTCCCATATTGACACATTGGGAAACTTCGGGTGCTTGTACTCAGTTCTCTCCATGGTGGTCTCCACTGCCCCAGTGGCAGCCGAACCTTCCTCCTCATGCCCCATGCCCCGCAGGGCGTTGATCAGAGTGGACTTTCCGGATCCACTCTCCCCGGTCACGGCAATGCTCAGGGGAGTGTTCTCGATGTCTTTCAGTGCAGAGTTAACTATAGAAAGTGCTTGTGGAACATTCCCCTTCCCCAGATAGTGCTTGATCCTCTGTACTTTTTCCTCGGAGAGGATTCTACTTTCCAACTTGAAATTTTGTAAGTACTGGTTGATGCTGGAGGCCAAGTTAGCACTCTCTGTGTTAGTGTCTGTGGAGAATCCTTGATCCATGGCTGTGAGCAGTCGAGGACTCTAGAAGAAGAACACAGGCAAGGTCCAGGTTAGCACAGCAGGGAAGGTCGCGATTTCCTGTCAGGATCCGCCAGCACCCCAGTGTAGGTCTTACATTACAAATGGGAAAATTTCTCATGGGGGCCACCAGGAGTCCTGTCTTGGTGCAGAGTCATCTTTTCTCCAGCCCCTTTCTTTTCCTTGGACTTCCCTGCCCCTTTAGAACACTCTTCATTAATTTCAGTGTCTGATTTTCCATTGAAACACACATGCCCCTTCCACCTTGCTCAGATTGCTTTGGCTATTTTTGTGTTAGGAAAATAATCTTTGAATATGGCTGCCCATCTCCAAGGCCACAGTAGAACTATGACCAAAACACTTCACGCCCATAGTGTGACCCAACACCTGGCTTCATCCTACACAGCTGCAATCATCAGGGGAACGCTCATGCAACGCTCATGAAAGAATAGGCAGAGAGAGCAGTGCACCAGAATGGAGTGCAGAAATGGACATCCATAAATGTGCTCCACTGATCTTAGTCTAAGGCGTGATGGCAATACAAGGAAGTACAGATATTCTTTTCATAGGGACTGCCTGAACGACCAGACAGCCACGTGTACACCCTTCACAGAAAGTGAGATGCGGTATAGACTTAAATATAGTATGAAAGGAGAACACAAAGATGAAATCATACGACCTCGGGTATGGAGATGAGTTTTAGGCACAACAGAAATCCATCCATGAAAGATATAATTGGTAATGTGGACTTGGTTAAAATTTTAAAAATTATGAAAGACAGTATCAAAAGAATAGAAGGATCAACCCACTGACTGGTAAAAAGGTATTTGCAAAGGAGCTGCGTACAGTTGCCTGTGGCTGTAAAGCTTTCACAGGGTGTTCCAGGTGTAGCGGGGAGGCTGAGGCAGAAAGATTTCAAGTAGAAGCTCAGTGTAGAAATCTCAACAAGGCCCCTCTCAATAACATTAAAAGGGCTGGGTAGGTAGCTCAATGCAAGGTCTCTGGTTTTTGTGTCTAAATTACAAATACTCATCTGATAAAGGACTATAGCACAAAACACACAAAGATCTTTAACACTGAGAAACAAGAAAACAAACAACATGAATAAAAACCAGACTGAGGATGTTAGCAGACACCTCACCAGAATAGAGGTACATATAACAATATGCTCCGCTCCATATGCTATGAGAGAAATACAAATGAGAATAACGATGAGAAATCACTACACAGCAGTAGGAGCAGCACCAGTCTGAACACTGGCCACAACAAATGCTGGCCAGGATGTCGGACAGCAGGATGGTTCTCCATCCCAGGTAGCAATTTGTTGGGGACCACTGCAAAGTGGCTATGAGCTTGATTTAATATTAACCAATTGGCTTTCCATGTTTACTTGTGAGTTGTCTGAAGCTTAGGCACCTTGTCTGAAGATAGGCAGTGGACTTATAGTAAGTAAACCTCTGTGAGTCCCTGGTCACCACTGAGGTCTATAAAGCTGTAACACCTCAAAAGACAAGATAAGGCTACAGCTGAGGACGTTTGGCTCCAACCCCAATTAAGCTACAAGGAGACTGCAGCTGCAGGCTCCACGCTCCTACTATAAATACTAACCTAAACATAAGGTAGTTCTCCAGATTGACATAATTTACTACTTTGGAAAATTCTCCTAAGGTCCTGTGAGATTCCTGCATTTTCTTGAGTATCCTCCTCCTTTGTTTGAAAACCAAATAAATATGGGCTCCCCAGAGAAGGCTTTGGCTAAACTCAGACAATATCAAAGCTGTAAGTGAGTTAGTCCCTCCTGGAGCCCTAAAATCATTTCCATTATCTCATTTATTTAAGCCTTTGCTGTCCACTCGCTTGGGAGATTGCGGGCCTGATCAGCCTGCAATAACTAAGAGTTACTTAACCTGATATTCGATAGGAATTAAAAATAGTAATCCTCTTTGGAAGACAGTTTGGCAGTTTTTAAAGAAAAGAAATGTACTTAGCATTGAGGGCCTGGATATATACACAAAGTAGTTGAGAGCTTTGTTCACACAAAAACTTGTCTATTGATGTTTCTTGAAGCTTTTTTCAGAATGCCAAACCTTGAAAGCAATAAGGCTGCTATACAGTAGGTAAATGGCATAATAAGTTGTGGTCCCCCTGGAAAATGTAACAGTATTGAGTGATAAAAAGGAAGGAGCCATTACATCATGAAAAGACTTGAAGAAAAGAAAAGCTCAAATGCACTTCAGTAAATGTAGAAGTCAAGAGACTACACAGTATATGATACCATTTCATGAGACTGAGAAAAGGCAAAGTGATGGAAAAAACTTGAAATATCCATGGTTTTCAGGGGTTAAGGGTGATGAAAGGCACAGCAGAGCCCAGTCCTCAGCAGACTTCAGACTTGTGCAATAAAGGGGCCAAGAGCCAGGCAGGAAGAGAGGCCACTGGGGACTGAGCAGGGCAGAGAGAGTCCTCAGGAGAAGACCAGGGCTGAGCACAGGCTGCAGGGGGTGGGGGGCAGGAGAAGTTCTGTGAAGAGAGGCAGGCCGAGGAGGTCCCTCTGTCCCCTTCCCTCATGGCAGCAGTGGATGTACCTGGTTCTGGAGTCCTCAGTACCTCCCCCTCTTTGACAACAGAAGACTTCCTCTTGCAGTCCAGGCACAAGAAGGAACCATAATCCCAGGACTAAATATCATGAATGATGAGGAAGACCTCTACCTTGAACCACACTGGGAGAAATTTAGATGTTTCCTACATAGCAAAACACAAGAAACCTCAAGTCAAGGTTGATGTCCAGGCAGAAGACAACCGATGCAGTGCGCTCCGCCTGCAAACGTGGGTGTGCACACCCTCCACAGGCCTCCTAGAAGTCACCTACTGCAGCACGGGAGGACTGGAGATAGAACAGTTCAAGAAATGACTTCTCTGAGCAGGTACACAAGGTCTGGTTTGTCATCATGACCAGGGTGCAAGTGTTTTTTCATGGAAAGGAGAATGTCACCAAGTATATGTGGAATCCATGAGCCACTGAGGGGCATGGTGTTGGTGCCTCTGACTTTGCTGCAAGAATTTTCCATCATATAAATGAGAGAGGAGGGGCTGGGAATTTACTTCAGGGGCACAATGCCTGCCTGGCAAGTGCAAGGTTGTGAGTTCAATTCCTGGTACCGGAAAAAAAATATGAGAGAGGAAAGCTTGGTGATGTGGCAGCTGAAGGGGCATCTCCTTGCTGTGTAGAAAGCAGCCCCCTTGGAGCTCCTCTGGGAAGCAATGTGTGGTAAAATATAGAATCAGTAAGCCTGAGAGTTGGACAGCCACAGCCACCAGGACCTCAGTGACATCAGTGCTTCTGACTGCCCTGTAGGAGATTTCTTCATAAATGGCTGGGGGAAACCTTCATGTCTGTCAGCTGCAACCCATTTCTGTGGAGAAGACAGTCCATCCCACAGCACCTCTAGGAAACAGAGCTGTGTGAAACGCAGAATCAGAAAGCCAGAGAGCTGCGGAGGGATTTCCAGCCAGGGCCTCAGTGAGGACCCGATTTGTGAGACCTCAGCCTCAGTGCATCATCCTGTGCATTTGCAGAGGCTGTCAGGCGGGGACACAGCAGGGGCGTGGGCACGTCTGCTGAGACGGGTGCTGAGGACCTGAGCAGATAAGGAGAGTGGGGACCGAAAGACAGGAACTGGACAGCACAGATGTGGACACCTGATTCTAGGTCCTGAGCCACAGAGCACATGCGTGCTGTACAATCTCATACATTCTCTCATGATTTAAGTGAATTTTTCTTAAATGATACCTTCTGCAGAATGATTAGGAAGTAGCAATTGGGAC